AATGTCCCTTCTTAATTATCTTGGGAATTTAATCCAATTCCGAAACGTTTATCCATGTCTCCTTTTTGTCAATAAAAAATGTTGTATATCATAAGTGTCGTAATCTTGTTTATAATCAAACTGCGTTTTCCTTCGAACACATCGATTGCTAATATTTCGTTGAATATTTTTATTAGCACATTTACTTCAGTCTCTCGTTGCTCCCCAGTGGCACAACGGTATGTTTGCGGAATTACAACGCTAGAAACAGAGTTTCGATACCTGTGGTGGACAGAGCACAGATAGCCATTGTGTAGCTTTGTGCTTAATTCCAAACAAATAAACAAACTTCTGTGTCAGACTACAACCTTTCTTTCCTGAGTTTTGGTAACTATTAGGCCTAATGTTGCACCATGTGATATCTACGCTGTATCCAACATAGAGATTGAACCCCGATTTTTAGCGCTATAAGACCTTCAGCTTACCGTTGAGCCACTGATGGCAATTGAAATCTGCAACTAACTTCTTGTACAATTACTTAATTGTATGTAGAAATGTGTAATACACTTTGTTATACATAAATGTATAAGTGTAAGTAAATAAGCAATTTAAAAGTAACGTTCAAGTTACCTATCCGATATATAAATTAATAGATAGCTACACAGAAAGATACGGTTATATGGGTTTAGTACCATACACTCATTGTAAAGGGTTTTTTGAAAACACTCAATTTATTAAAACATCTATCATAAAATGGAAGCTATCACGTAAGTCTTAGTTGTTTATCCACCTATAGTATATAAATGATTATAACAAAAAGTAGTACACGTTTTGTATTTCTACTAATTATTTTTGGTATTTCAACCCAAAGATACTCAATGGGCTATCTGTGATCTGACAACTGCGAGGAATCGAACCCAGAATTTCGGGGAGCCATTAAATAGTCACTTAACACAATAAGCTTACATTTAGAGTCATAAAACTATTCACATTTAAAGCATACTCTGAAATCTATTAAATCACATTATTCCAAATAATCAACTAACACATTTTGCTAATACTATCAGCTGCTTTACTAGTATTATGCTTTCACAAAGCCATGTCGCATTGCAGAAACTCAAAGGGCACGGTTGGTTACTGAAAGTAGAAAAATGCTTTTCTTCAACAGGCTATTTAACATGAATGGGGTAGTATCTTCCGAAAAGGGAACAAATTAGCTTTACGAAAGAAAAGTGCTCAAGAACGACAAAACCAATCGCTGATGCCTTCGATCAATAACAGCAAAAACCAATGTCACTGGTTAAAATAAAATAAAAGCTTTTATTAAGAAACCACTTATGGCAATTAAGTCACAGTAAATTTATTTAGCTAACAAGTTTTCAATGCTTATAATGTAGTATTGTACTTAAGATTCAAAGGCCTATCTCACTTTCAACTGACATCACTCCTGAAGGCGGGTTATCTTGAGGAATAGAGTGGCTGAAACGTTGGAAATATAACAAATTGCAGTTCGAGTCGTTTCATGAATTAAATAATTAAGTTTAACCTTGTAATTTTAATGACACCAAACCGTGTTCCGGATCAGTTGCCGTACCTCATCTACACATCATGCTAATGCTATAAAGAATAATAAAAAACAGGTGCTATTTTGAAGCATAAAAATATAGTTATGAAGAGAAAATCTAGCAGAACGAACCTAAACCCTGAACAAAGATTTAGTGTTACTTTTAATGTGATTGTTACAACAACTACTCTTTAGATAAAAGTTCTGTTTAACGAATTTTGTTTCTTATAATTTAAATTTGAGTTACTAAGTTGTTCACTTAAAACGTAATTAAAAAATTATAATTTTAAATTGAAGTCATATGCACACATAAATATGTAATTTGTTGTTATTAGCAGAAAATTAAACCCATTCTTTTACGGCTTAATACAAAGATTCCTTGATTAAGTATTACAATAATGGACATAAAAAAGCACAGATAAGCATTTGTATAGATAAGATAATATGGTACGGAAGGAAAAAAATGTCATCAGTAATATAATAAAGAACTATTATTAACTTTGTTCACAAAATATACTTATTTTTATTATTTGTGCTTATTGAATTTATCACATTTTTTTCTAAAACACTTTTCCAAAATCATAATATAGTCAAATTCACATTTATGTAATTTCAATGATGATTTACAGCAAACAGAACTTTGAAATATAATATAAGTTAGAGACCACCATACAATTGTGCATAACTTGACGAAAAAAAAATGATTATGATATAGAGATAGAAACATAGTTAAATTTCAAATATGCAAGTTAAAAGTCTGGAAAATAATTTATAAAACTGAAATGATAGAAAGTAAAACTAATTTTATAAAAGAAATTTAAAAGCTTTATGAGGAAAGTCATCAAAATAGTTTTACTCGATATTGTAAAGTAAGTGTCACACTGAAATACCTTAAAAAATACCAAAAAAAATGTAGAGGTTGGTTTGAAGTTCGTGCAAGCTACATGAGGGCTATCTGTGGTAGTCGTCCCTTATCTTTCAGTGGTAGACCACCCACCGCCAACTCTAGGAATACTCTTTTACCAACAAAGAGGGGGAGAGACTGTCACATTATAACGCCCCTACTTGTAAAAAGGTAAGTATGCTCGGTGTAACGGGACTCAGACTCTTGACCCTCAGATTGCGAGTCAAGCACTCTAGCCATCAGGCCATGAAAATTGCAGTGAATGGTTGTTTAAGATGCATAATGTACACTTGAAATAAATGTGATTACAAGCTTTTATTGGTGTGAAATACTGATACGGGAAGCACACCAAGGTAAGTTTGAATTCACACCCTTAGCTATGAAAAGTGATTTTAAACTTGTAATAAAATCAAAAAATATCAAACAATAATATATTTAAAAAGCTTTACTTTATACAAAAAAGCTTAAATGTAAATGTAAACATTTGAAGGGTTACTGTCTTCTAAGGAAAATTATGTTTTTAAAATGTTATAGTAATCACAAAATTATATAAATGTAAGCGATTTTGTCAAAAGTTATTTATTAGAATATATTTTCACATACCACTTAGACGACTTTCCATTCTGCTTATAAATTCACACCTTTGCAAACATATCAGGAGTTTGGACCTTGAGTTTTTTCTAAGTTTACATTTTTAAGGGTGTGAATTTTCACCTTATCAACCAAAAGGGGTGTATTTGTTAGAATCACACAGCCATCACACGTTTCATTTTAGAGTGTAGATTATTCAGCAAGTTTTCGGCTACGTTGCCTTGCGGTAACCGTCATCATCGTGTGTAACCTTTTAAACATAGTGGTTAACGAAAGTTTTACATATCCGCAACACAGGAAGGTTTTACAGCATTCAAACTATTAGGTCGTCAAGAAATTAATGTCGTATTTTGGAACAATTTCATTAACCACCCTCCAAAAACGTACATCACGTATAATACTTAAACTAACCGCCTAAACGTCACGTTAGTGTAGCCTATATAATGTGTAAAGTTTAGTATACTCTAATTCCTTATAGCGATGGCACACGATGAGACACACATTTGGCATGTAATGTTGTTTGAATGCAAGAAGGGAAACAACACCTCTGTAGCCACAAAGAATATCAAAGAAGTCTATGGAAATGTTTTAAACGTTCGTCAGTGTCAACGATGGTTCAGAAAATTTATTTCAGATGACTTTAACCTTAAAAATTGTGACGGCAGGGGCCGACATGTTGGAATTGATATTGATGAAGACGCTTCTTCAGTATAACCCATGGCAACACACTCGTGAAATGGCCCTGAATTTGCATGTCTCTCATGAAACAATACCTAAATATCTAAGGAATGTGGGAAAACTCCACAAAGAAGGTATTTGGGTGCCTCACGAACTCTCTAATGATCATCATTTCCAATATGTGAACGTTGCTTTGTCTCTTCTGGCGCGTAATGCT